TTTCCTCACAACTCTGAGGTAGATGCTACTAATCTCTCCAGGTGACAGATGAGGAGGATGAATAAGTGGCAGAGGATGTATTTGGGGTGAGTTTTGGCAGTTTCTGAAATCCAACCTCTTTTAAGAAAGAAAATGCCACTGTCTGTGGGGTCTGTGTTGATTTCCTCTACCTCTCCCCCAATCTGGAACAAGTCCTGTCTCCTCTGAGAAGAGAAGGAAGGGAAGCAGAGCTGCAGAACCGGAGAACATGACTATAGCCAAGGACTGAAGTTGCAGGAAACAGCAGAAAGTGGAATTTTGAGAAAAGACACAAGAGAGAAGGTCCCAGCTGACTCCGGCTCCTGCATGCCTGTGCAGGGTAACCTCTGCCCCCAACCCAGGCAGAATCAGCACACCCATCTATGAACTACTGCATTCACTAAGTGCGTGTTGAGTGCCAGGCACTGGAATGCAATGGTGAGCCAACACAGACAAGGCCCCCATGCTCATGGGACTTACACTCAAGTTTTGGCAGCCCCAGCCCCTCTCCCATACACACTCCTGATGGATGCCACACAACTGGTGGTAGTATGGTGCAGTATGGAGAGCATGATCTAGAGTCAGACCGCCTGCTCCACCACTTACTACTGTGTGATCTTGGGCAAGTAACAGCCTCTTGGGCCTCAGTCTCCACCCCTGTAAGATGGGGATGATCATAGTAATAGCTACCTTAGGATTGTGTGAGAGTTCCATGAGATAACATATGAAAAATTTTTTTTCATGGCGCCTGGCCCAAAGAAAGTACTTGATAAATATTAGCTGCTACTACTGCTACTGCTACTGCTACTGCTACTACTGCTACTACTACTACTACTACTACTATTACTATATACAAACACTACCTGTTTCACGAATACAGGGCCATATCTTCTTGTTCTCCGCTGAGTTCCCAGTACCTAGCACATAATTGGAACCTAGCATGAATAAGCGCATAGATGAAACCTGGCTTACATTTGAAGATACAACATTCTGGATCTGATGTCAACCCAGATAGATAACCTACTATGTGCTGGGAGCCACAAGGGGCATTAAGAGTGGCTCCCGTCCTTGGGGTGCTTGACAGAAGATGCTCAGCAGAAGAGATGCTAGATATAAAGTTGAATGAATGAATGCATGGATAAATGAATGACTATGAAAGCGAGCTCCTGTGCAGAATAAACACGTCCGGAGTCCCGTACCCCATACACACATTCGCTCACAGAGCTTTCTCTGGAGTGGGCACCAGGGGGCACTGAGCTCGGCCAGTCTCAGCTCCTGATCAGGATTCACGCCCACGTTCTTAGGTGGACGCCGCGCGGTGACGTCATATCCGCGCCTAGACGTCACGCTTCCGGGGGGGGGGGCGAAACAGGAGCCAAACGTAAGTACCCCCGGAGTTTTCTGGGCCCAGGGTCTGGCCTTTGCGGGGGGACGCCAAGCTTTGGCGGATTCTTGCAGTGAACAGGAGTCAGGGAGGCGCCAGGTTAGTGCGACCGAAAGCAGGTAAGCGGAAGCCCATAGCAGAGCGGCTTTTGCCGGGAGCGAGCTCTGTCGGCCGCGCTGGTGACGCATGGCCTGCGCGCCCGGTGCGCATGCGCAAGGTGGGAGTTACGACGGGCGGCGTTCGGCCATCTGAGGTACCAAACCTCCCCGGCCCAGGACGCCGCAGGCGGCCGGCGAGATCCGGCAGCGCACCTCCCGGGACGCCTGTACTACAGGGTCTCGGTAGCACCTGGTGGCTGCGAGGAGTGAGCGGGACCACGTGTGCAGAGCGCATGCGCCTGGCGCCAGGTGGGCGCTAAGTAAATGGGGGACGTTAGTCAAAAAAAAGTTGAAAACAACTGAAGTGTCCAACAGTAGGGGACTGGGCTTTTTTTTTTTTTTTTAATGATTGGTTTGGCCCCAAACTTATATGTTGAATGTATACTGTGTGCACTTTTAGATTCCTAGGAAACAGTAGTGAACAAGATAGAACCCCGTTTCTTGCCGAGTGTACATTCTGTTGTGGTGGGGGAGGGAAGTACAAATGGAGAATAAATGAATTACGTAGTTGTGTTAGAAGGTGGTAAGTGCTATGGGGAAAAACCAGAACAGGGGCATGGAGGGGCTGCCGTATTAGGCAGAACAGCCACCGGACCAAATCGAGGGGTGAGATTTGATCAAAGCCATGAAGGAAGCGAGGGAGCGAGCTATCTGGCTACCTGGAGGAAGAATATTCCCAGCATGTGGAAAAGCTAGGAGCGGAGAGGCGCAGAGACGGGAGGGAAACGGTGTGTGAGGAAGAGCTAGGAGGAGTCTGGTGGAGGGAGTTGAGCAAGGGAGCATGGTCAGGGCTGTTGGAGGCAGCGGTACAATTCAGGTAAGGCCTTGCAGGGCTTGTAAGTCCTTTGTGTTTACTCTGAGTAAAACGGGAACCATTGCATTGTTTTGAGCAGAGGAATGGCAGGGGCTTGAATAGGTTTTAACTGGCTTGCTCTGGCTGCTGTAGAGACTAGATTGGGGGGTGGGGGGTGGGGAGCAGGTGGAAGCAGGGACACCTATTACTAATAGGTCACTTAATGAGCATCCCTGCAGCCATTACAAAGGCTGGCTTCAAAGATGATAACAAGAGCTATGGAAGTGCTTTCATTGTTGTGGTGAGCCTGGCAGATTTGCCAGGCTGTATGAAGAGTACCCAGGCATCCTCTCCTTCAATCTTGGGACAGCCTGCAGAGGGCAATACTGTCACTGCCTCTGAGGCTGAGGCCTATGTGGAGGTGACTGCTCAGTAAACACTTGTTCCTACAAGTCTTTTTTGGTAAAATATACCTAACATAAAATTTACCATTTTTAAGGGTACAGCCTATTGATGTAAAGTATATTAACACTGTTATGAAACCATTATCACTATCCATTTCCAGAATACTCCTTAAGTCTTCATTGTTATTGGCATCCTGAGCCCCAGGCACAATCTCATTCCCCTAGCTCAGGCAGCCAACTCCCATCAAGGCTGTTGGTAACTCTTAAAAAACACCTATCATGTGCCAGACAATGAATGAAGTGATTGAGGGTCCTATTCTCCCTGCCCTTCTAGTCAGGGATGACTCTAATGATTGGGAAAGAATCATCAGGTGATTATTTCTGCAGTCTTGAACATACAGGCCTAATACTTCTCACCATTCAGTAAGTGTTTATTGAATATCTACTCTGTGCCAGACACAGTAACTATTCATGTTTTTAAGTGGATGCTTGGATGTAGCTCCTTGACCCTAACTTCTCATTTTCTCTGAGGGCATCATCTAGGAGTGCTTGAAACTGGACCTGACGCAGAGGTTTTTGTAAATGCCGGTTTATAGCTATATGACCTTGGCCAATTCCCTTTCCTTGGTTGGACCTCAGTTTTCTGGTTCTTTTAGTGGGGAACCAGATATTGAACAAAGAGTATTAAGAGATTGCATAACAAGTGAATCTAATTTAGAACAAGGTGTCCAAAAGGCTTTCTTGAAGAGGTGAAATTCCTAGGAGAGGTGACCTTTAAGCTAAAATTCAAAGGATGAATAGGGGCTATCCAGAGGAAGAGTGAGGTAGGAGTGGACCCGATGACAGATTCTCCCCAGGGGGATCAGCATGTTGTGAATTCTTGAAGGATCCAGGTCTATTAGAAATGACATGAGTGCCCATTCCAGGAATTCCTCTTCTCAAACCCCTTGCTGTCTAAGCTCGGTCTTTGGCGGGGCGGGGAGGGGGGGTTTACTATCAAATAGCTCTGTATAGACCTGGCCTTCAGAGAACAGGCAGGTCCAGCATGGGATGGGACAGCAGAACTACCACTCCTCATTCTGTTCATATTCTGTGTTGACTGAGGAAACAAGAAGATCCTGCATTTTATTCCTGTATGCTATTTTTTTAAAAGATTTTATTTATTTAGCTGTCAGAGAGAGAGCACAAGCAGGGGGAGCGGCAGGCAGAGGGAGAAGCAGCTCCCTGCTGAGCAAGGAGCCCAATGCAGGGCTCAGTCTCAGGGCCTTGGGATCATGATGTGAGCCTAAGGCAGATGCTTAACTGACTGAGCCATCCAGGCGCCCCCCCCCCTTTTTTTAAATTAGGAGGCATCATACCAGAGTGGTCTTGAGGGGCTCAGGAGTGGTTGGAATCTGTGTGCCCTTGGGCAAGTGTTACCTCTCTGCCAAGCCTCAATGTCCTCTTCTTAAAAATGGAGGGGAAGAAGTGAGAATAATAATAGCTTTTACTTCATGGGATCATTTTGAAGACTTATGACCTAAGGCATGTGGGGCGTTTAGCACAGAGCCAGGTACTTAGGGAAAAATGTCCATTGGGATTATGTTATTAGAATTTAAGAGTACAACAGCCTGGCATATATAAAATCTAGAAACTTTCTTTGTGTCTCTATGGGTAAATTTGGTTTGACCAGAAATAAAAGAATTACTATACTAGGAGTTCTTTTAAAAATCAAATGGGTCAAAAAAAAAAAAAAAAGAAAAGGGGTGCCTGGCTGGTTCAGTCAGAGGAGCACGTGACTTGATCTCAGGGTCATGAGCTCAAGCCCCACGTTGGGTGTAGAGATTACTTAAATAAGTAAACTTGAGGGGCACCTGGGTGGCTCAGTCGGTTAAGCATCTGCCTTCGGCTCAGGTCATGATCCCAGGGTCCTGGGATCGAGCCCCGCGTCGGGCTTCCTGCTCAGCGGGAAGCCTACTTCTCCCTCTCCCACTCCCCCTGCTTGTGTTCCCTCTCTCACTGTGTCTCTGTCAAATAAATAAATAAAATCTTAAAAATAAATAAATAAACTTGAAAAACATCAAATGGGTTCAGGGTGCCTGTCTGGTTCAGTTGGTAGAGCATGAGACTCTTGATCTCAGGGTTGTGAGTTCAAGCCACACAGTGGGTGTAGAGCTTACTTTAAAAAAAAAATCAAAATGGGTTAAATTCTCATTTTAAAAATGGGGGGGGAGTGAAAAATAGGTTGTGCCTTGCTAATTTGTAGCCCTCTTGATTTTTCATTTCTAGATGTGGTCAGCTTTGGAAAAGATGCCAGCTCCAGCCACCACATATGAAAGAATAGTTTACAAAAATCCCTCTGAGCACCATTATATGAAAGTCTGCCTGTGAGTTCTCCTAAGTTCTATTTGTGATTACATTTTTATGAATCTGAATAGTATGAAACTTGATACATTTTTTTCTTTTTTATGTTTTTATAGAGAATTTCAAGATCGTGGGGTTGGACTGAATGCTGCACAGTTCAAACAGCTGCTTATTTCAGCCTTGAAGGACCTCTTTGGGGAGGTATGAATCACTTGGTAGATTGAACACTCCTAAGATCTTTGTAAGAAATACTAAAACAATGCTTTTCCAAATAATTATTTTAAAACTTTAAAAACATATTTGAAATTGCAGAAGCAGACTTTCAAAAATGATGAATTTTGGGTAGGTTTGTTCTAATATGCCTTCTATTTGACAAGGAACTTGTTAGACAGATGTTTTAGTGCCATGCTACTCCCAGTATGGTCCAGACCGGCAACCTGCAAACAGTTTTTTGGGTTTTTTGTTTTGTTTTGTCTTGTTTTGTTTTAAGATTTTATTTATTTAGAGAGTGCGTGTGAGCAGGGAGAGGGGCAGAGGGAGAGGGAAAGAGAACCCCAAGCAGACCCCACACTGAGCGCAGAGCCCAACCAGGGCTCAGCCTCAGGACCCGAGATCACAACCCGACCGACCCAAAATCAAGAGTCAGACGCATAACTGCCTGAGCCACCCAGGCACCCCATGCAAACAGTTTTTTGGCCCATTGTGAAGCTTTACACCAGAATCAGCACGCTACTTCCTTTACTGAAAAAGTCTCCGTAAACAAAAATTGAGGTGAACTATCAGAAGAGCTTGGTTAGAGCCCCACGTAGAGATTACTAAAAGTAAATAAATAAATAAACTTTAAAAAAAACTGAGCTGGGCGCCTGGGTGGCTCAGATGGTTGAGCGTCTGCCTTCGGCTCGGGTCATGATCCCAGGGTCCTGGCATCGAGTCCCGCATTGGGCTCCCTGCTCCTTGGGAGCCTGCTTCTCCCTCTGCTTCTCTCTCTCTCTCTCTCTCCCCCCGCCCCCCTGTCGCTCATGAATAAATAAATAAAAGCTTTAAAAAAAAAAAAAACTGAACTAAACAATGTACTTAGTGATATTGTTGATTTCCATTGTGTTACAGCCTCTTATTTTATCACAGACCAGCACATTGAGTAGTCCTATTTTAGCATTTACTTGAAAATAAGTAGAATTTTGAGAGAGAACAAAGACAGACAATTCAGGAAATTATTTCCTGATTCATATGTTTTATCAAGTCAAAATCTGGTAAGCATCTCATTAAAATTAAAAACGTACACACCACAGCAGACTCAGTTAAGAGGATGGGAAAAGACAAATTACAGACTGGGGGAATTCAGGTGCCTGGGTGGCTCGGTCAGTTAGGCGTCTGCCTTGGGCTCAGGTCATGATCCCAGGGTCCTGGGATTGAGTCCCGCATTGGGCTCCCTGCTCAGCGGGGAGTCTGCTTCTCCCTCTGCTTCCCCATGTGCATACTCGCACGCTTTCTTTCTCTCTCAAAAATAAATAAATAATATTTTAAAAAATAAAAAGAACTCTAAAAACTCAATAATAAAGAAAACCAAATATTTCAACTTGAAAATGTGTAAAAGACACAAATAGACATTTCACTAAAAATGAGGTACTGTTGACAAAGAAGCACTTGAATGAAGAGATGTTCAACATTATTAGCCATTGGGGAAATGCACATTAAAAACACACTAAGCTCCAAAAAACAACAACAACAAAACACAATGGGTGCGGGCGCCTGGCTGGCTCAGTTGGTGGAGCATGCGACTCTTGATCTTTTGACTCGACTCTTGGTTGTGAGCTCGAGCCCCAATTTGGGTGTCAAGATTATTTAAAAATAAAATCTTTAAAAAATAAGTAAATAAAAAAAAACACAGTGAGCTATCACTACACACGTAACAGAAAAACCGAAAATAAAAAAAAATAGTGATAATACTAAGTGCTGGTGAGGATGTGGAGAAACTGGATCACTCATTCATTCATTCATTGCTAATGGAAATGCAAAGTGGCACAGCCATGGGCACCTGGGTGACTCAGTCATTGGGCATCTGCCTTCAGCTCAGGCATGATCACAGGGTCCTGGGATCGAGCCCCGCGTTGGGCTCCCTGCTCATTGGGAAGCCTGCTTCTCCCACTCCCCCTGGTTGTGTTCCCTCTCTCTCTCTATCTCTGTATCTCAAATAAATAAATAAATAAAATCTTTAAAAAAAATGGCACAGCCACTTTGGAATAGCATTTGATAGTTTCTAAAAACAACTAAACATGCATCTGCTATACTACCCAGCAGTTAACACACCTAGGCATTTGTCCCAGAGAAGTAAAAACTTAATGTTCATACAAAACTTGTATGTGAGTGTTCATAGCAGCTTTATTTGTAAGAGCCCAAAAACAGAAATCAACCAGATGTCCTTCAGTGAGTGAGTACTTAAACATTCATGATATATTGATAACATAGAATATAGTGAATAATAAAAAGGAACAAACTATAGATACACATAAAAACTTAACTGAATCTCCAGAGAATTATGCTAAGTGAAAAAGCTAATCCCAAAAGGTAACATTCTGGGTAATCCCATTTGTATCATGCTCCCGAAATAATGTAATTATATAATCTGGAGAAAGGTTCGTGGTTAGGGATTGGGCGGAGGAGTGGGTGTGACTAAAACGGTAGAAGAGGAAGAGCGCCCTGTGGCGATGGTTTAATTCTATCTTGCTGATGGTAGTGGTTGCATAAAACTACCTGTGTGGTAAGATTGCATAGAAGTATGCACACACGCACGGACAAATAGGAGCACATGTATAACTGGTAAAATCTGAATAAACTGGTTTATCAATTTTAGGTTTTTGGTTTTGATATTGTATTACTGGGGGAGGCTTCATGAAGGGTGCATAGAACCTTCCTGTAAATTTCATTGTAACCTCCTGTGATTCTAATTTTTCAAAATAAAAAGTTTAAGAAAAAGTGTGTACCTTCTCTGTTGGGTATAAAACCTGGTTCCAGAATGATGAGTATTATGAGAGAGGAAGTGTATGCTTTCTATGTGTGAAACAGCATAGAAAGCAATTGAGCTTAATCTTGGGGATCAGGGATGGAACTTTTTTAACCCTGAGATCAAAAGTCTCTGGCTCTACTAACTGAGCCAGCCAGGCACCCCCGGGGATGGAACAATTTAAACAAAGACTTGAAGGGTGAAGAGTCATTAGCAATATGAAGGGTTACAGGAAGAACATTCTAGACGGGTAATTGTAAATAAGCAGTCCCAGTACTACAGCACCACTAAATAAAATACTGCTTTTTTGGAGGAGAAAAGCAGTTAGCAGGATTAGTTATTAGACTTTAAGAATAATGATGATAGGGGCACCTGGGTGGCTCAGTTGGTTAAGCGTCTGCCTTCAGCTTGGGTCATGATCCCAGAATCTGGGGATCGAGCCCTGTGTTGGGCTTCCTGCTCAGCAGGGAATCTGCTTCTCCCTCTGCCCCTCCCCCTGCTTGTGCTTACTTTCATTCTTTCTCTCTTTCTAGCTTGCTCTCTCTCAAATAAATAAAATCTTTAAAAAAAAAAAGGATAGCCCTGATAGGGGCACCCTGCTGCCTCAATCATTGGAGCATGCAATTCTTGATCTCAGGGTTGCGTTCGGGCCCCACGTTGGGTGTAGAGATTACTCTAAAAAAATAAAGAATAGTGATAATAATAGTCTGCTAATAGTATTTTTCCATACCTAGGTTGATGCAGCCTTACCCTTGGACATCCTAACTTATGAAGAGAAGACCCTGTCAGCCATCTTGAGGATATGTAGCAGGTACGACAGAGGCACCTTTGTAGTATAACAGAGCAGAGAGATGGATGGAGAAATAGAGCAAAAATGCTCTTCTCTAAGAAGAGGCTTGTCATTGTGAGCTCTCAGTAGTTTTTGGAAGTTTAAACTGGGAAGGATATGAACTTTTATCCACCAGGAGCTTAGACTATACAGAGCAAAACTCATGATTTGCTTACAACTGTAGTGTTTCCCAGTTGGTGGCCATGGGTTGCAAACTCAAAAATGTGTATTTTAGAAACATTCCTAATTGAGGTTCATTTTATTCTCTGCTATGACATAATGTGCTTTTACTTTTAAAGTTTTCTCATTTAGTGCTCTCTTTGGCAGCACATCTACTCAAGTTTTCTCATTTAAATTAGGTTTTCTGGACCTAATTTAACTATCTGGCCCATCACAAAAGTACTAGGGAGATGTCACAGAGACAAATCTTCATGCATTCATTCTTGATCTCTCTACAGTGGTCTTGTCAAATTGTGGAGCTCTTTGACTCTGTTAGGATCCTATAAAGGCAAGAAATGTGCCTTCAGAGTGATTCAGGTAAAGACTGTTCCTTCACGTATTCCAAACAAGGCTGAGTAGGGGTCAAGCAGCTTTTTTTTTTTTTTTTAAGATTTGTTTATGAGAGAGAGAGTGAGCGAGTGTTCCGGGAGGGAGGGGCTGAGGGATAGGAGAGGGAAAGAATCTCAAGCAGACTCCATGCTGAGCAAGGAGCCCGACACAGGGCTCAATCCCATAACACCAAGATTAGGACCTGAGCTAAAATCAAGAGTCAGACACCCAACCGACTGAGCCACCCAGGTACCCCCAAACTGCTTTTTAGTACATGTCCCATTTTTTGCTTGCATAAATCTAGCGTGGTTAACATTACCCTGTGGCGGCAGTGGGGAGGAATAAGGACTACATCGCTTCTGGAAATGTGAGAGAAAGCACTTAGATTTTAGATTGTATGGGAGATGTTTGGGGATGAAACTTGGAACTCTTGTGGAAAAGTCTTAACTTTTCATTTGTTGCTTAATGCCTGGTGCCTTAAATATTAGGACACGCTTTCTAAACCTACTGTGATCACTTGTGTATCTGAGGCTACCTCTGAGGATGCTCTTTAAGATGCCACTGCATCAGCTTCGCTTACCCTAGAAAACTAGGCATGTTTCCACACACCCTGTGTTTCAGTGCGGTCTTCTCCCCAGATTTCCTTAACTGTTTTCTTTCTCTTAACAGGTTTCTCCATTTCTCCTTGCCTTATCTGGGAATAGCAGGGAACTAGTATTGGATTGAATAGTCTTCAATTGCAGAAACATCCTTCTCTCAAAAGCATGTTTTGGTGACAATATGCTGTCTGAAGACTGAAGCGGTCTAAAAGCTCCGATTGCTGAAGATGTTCCCCGTAATTTCCCGCCATCATCTGTGGTGGGGTGGGCTTCAGAGGAGAATCTGCCTGAGCCAGCCAGTGGTGAGCAGGCATCACGTTGAGCAGATGCACATGAGAGTTGGAGACCGCGCTGAACTCAGCAGGGCCTTCACACAGAGGGACGTGGCTGCCTTCTCAGAATTAACGGGGGATGTCAATCCTTTGCATTTAAATGAAGATTTTGCAAAATACACCAAGTTTGGAAAGACAATTGTACACGGAGTTTTGGTCAATGGACTTATTTCGGCTCTCCTGGGAACTAAAATGCCAGGGCCAGGCTGTGTATTACTTTCACAGGAAATTAGCTTTCCAGCCCCTTTATATGTTGGAGAAGTTGTTGTAGCTTCTGCAGAGGTAAAAAGGCTAAAGCGGTTCATTGCTGTTATTGCAGTGTCATGTTTTGTAAGAGAAAGTAAAAAGACTGTTATGGAAGGCTGGGTTAAAGTTATGGTCCCAGAAACTCCCCAGTCCTGAAATGTGTTTAAAGATGGACATTCAAGTGCCAATGGTACTGTTCTTGAAGAGCCTCTGAGGAAAAGGGAATGCTGCTCTTCACCAAGGGATGGCCTATAGACCTAGAAGCCCATGTTGGGGGAGGGGAGCAGGTAGAGGGGTGTTCAAAGGTCCACTGTCCAATTTGGCTTTATGCTTCACACAGACTTGAGTATATTCCTCCTCTGTCTAGGTTTTTAAAATTGAAGAAATACTGGGAAAGTTATTTAGCTAAAGGTTCTTTTAGGATTTCACATCTAGTTAGATTTGCATTTGAATAACACAAACCTGCCTCTATCTGTGCAGAGTAAGTTTGTCACTGAATTTATAACTAGCATTTATTTAATTACTGAAGGCAACAACAGAATTCATGTCATCTTTGAACACCTACCTTCTACCAGTCAGGGTACTTAGATCCTGTCCTTCAGCAGTTTCTGAGTCAGAGTTTATTGTAATTTGTTACTGTTTACACCACAGCGGCACCTTGTTCTATCTTCAGTGGCATTTACTTTTCAGATGGCTTTCCTGTGATTGGAGAAGGGCTTACATGCACCTTTGGACTCAGTTATGTAAACTCTCTCAATCTCATGCGTACAACAGGGATAACGACACCTGCCACGCAGGACTGTTGGAGATGCTGGATGCAAATAGCTAAGCACAAAGTCCAACCGGTCATCCGTTCTCCCCTGTGAATGAGGTTAGAGGTTTTCCCGAGTTTAAAGCAAACTAGCCCACAATTAAACAGGTAACAGACTTCATTTTTCAGGATGTCAATCAATCTAAACCTGGAATAGAATTGGAATGCAAAATTTCTATTTTAGTAATCCAGATTATTTTCTCCCTCCCTTGAAAACACTGTGGATTCTCCCCTTTACAAATAATATATGCTTATTGTAAAGATTTATAAATAAAAAATATAAGGAACCCTGTGGAGGCCAAGTTCTTAAGAGTTGAGGGATATTGAAAATTTAATCAGTATTAAAATAAAAAAGTTGGGTACTGAAGAGGAAATGCGCCTAATGCGTTTGTACTGAGTGGTCATCCCAACACAGCCAACACTTTTAAGATAATCTATAACAGAACATCCATCTCTGCTCTGTGGCTTTAGATGGTGGTTCTGATTACAACTAGATAATTTGATCAGGAAGATAGATCAAGTGTCACTGGTGGGGTCAACCCCCATTTCCCGGGAAAAGGTTTTTCCTCCTGGTAGATCAGTAACTAGATTTTTTTTTTTTTTTTACATCAAAGGGATAAATTAAGCAGACTACTAGAAAAAAAATCATTCTGGGCACTAGAGGGCAATGATGTGTATAAATAATATTTTTAAACTGTTGAATATTGTACCACCATATCCTAGTTGGTGGATGGTGAGATGAAAATACTAAAATCAACATGAGAAGCAATGATGCCCTCATGAGTTTCAGAAGGGGCTGTTGTGGGGGCTCAGATACATATGAAGAAGACTTACTCATAGGGGAAGGCTACACAAGCTAAAACTTCGATACAACATTGAAAAAAAAAGAACTTGGAGCACAAAATACAGACTCAGAGCTAAGACTGTTCCTGTAGAACTCATTCTCTGGGACTAGTAGCACTCTTGAAGCATAGGTCCATAAATGGAGTGTAATTTGATTATTAATACTAGTAGCTACCATTTTTGCACTATGAGCCAATCTCCCCCCCCCCTTTTTTTAAAGATTTTATTTTTGAGAGAGAGTGCTGGTGGGAGAGGGGCAGAGGGAGAGAGAATCTCAAAACAGGCTGTGTACTGAGCACGGTGCCTGATGGCAGGGCTTGATCTCATAATCCTGAGATCATGACCTGAGCTGAAGCTGAAACCAAGAGTCAGACACTTAACCAACTGAGCTATCTAGGCACCCCATTTTCTTTTTTTTTAATTGAAGATTTTATTTTTTTTTTTTAAATTTTATTTATTTGACAGCACAAGTAGGCAGAGTGGCAGGAAGAGGGAGAAGCAGGCTTCCCACTGAGCAGAGAGCCCGATGCAGGGCTGGATCCCAGGACCCTCCTGGGTCCTCATGACTGAACCACCCCAGCGATCCTAAGATTTTATTTTTAAGTACTCTCTACACCCAGTGTGGGGCTCAAACTTACAAGCCCAAGATCAAGAGTCACATGCTCCACCAACTGAGCCAGCCAGGCGCCCCAATGAGCCAGTTTTCTACATTAACTCCAATCTTTGAGAACTTTGTGAATTAAAGTTAATGTCCCATTTTATAGGCAAGGAAATAGACTGATGCTGTGTGACTTGCCCAAGGCTGTACAGAAAATAGACTGATGCTATGTGACTTGCCCCAGGCTGTAGAGCCTGGGATGCAAATGGGGACCTGCCTGGCTCCCAAGTATTTCTTTTCTCCATCTCCCTGTGGGTCTTACAATGTTCCCATTACTGGAGCCCTGTCAGTTTCTGTAATAGTATCCCGTTATGTGGCATTAAAGTATTCAGAACCACCATTTTATAGAATTCTTTTTATATTCAGAATGTGCTAGATCTTACTTCCTGCTACAGTTGCAGCATTTTCCTATATATTATTAGTTGATGGCTTTCACCTGTAACCATCACCTACCCTTTTTCTCAGTTGACATTCAGTGATTACTTGTCTTTAGAGCAGAATTACCAAAAAGGTTATTCTAAAGGTGAAAAGTTTTGTGTAGGCCACATATGGTGGAGACAGGGGGATGCCAGGCCTGGCTGGTCACTGATACTGTGTAATTCAAAAATAGCTTCTCAATATGAGCATTTTCATATTTTAAATGGTCCCTGAGTGCCATGGTCTTCTTTGATCTCTGTAAATCAATAAAAGGTTGGACTAGAGAAGTAGGCAAGAAGGGATACTTCTCTGTCAATGATGACTTCTTATTTTTACTCAGAGATGCTCCAGCCACTCTTGCTTTGTGAAAGCTGGCTGTCCGGGAAACTGGCTGATGATTGTTTTCATATTGAGCCTTGTAGGAGATGCCAAAAGAATGTGGCTCTTCTGATGAAAACAGGGGTGACCCTCAAATTAGGAACTTCTCTCCAGGATAGTTGAGAGGGGGCCTTGATCGTACTAGGTCACAGGTGGAAGTGAGTACAAAAGTACTGACTAAAATAGCAGGCCAAATTGTACTAGCACTTTCCACATAGGGGCATCGTTAAGACTGCAATTTATGTCATGTTTGATTGCTACAGAAAGACCCATCTTAAGCAATTTCAGCCTAATGTACTGGAAAATTGCTTAACAGATTTTTATATTCTATTAGAAACATTTCCATATTGGTGAGATGCCACTCATTTCTTATTCTGGGCAGCAAATCTTGAGTAACAGCAGGAAGAAAGCCTCACCACAGCCTCCATTCATCCTGTGGACCTGACTTGCGTATTCATCCAGAAAAAGAAGAAATTGCTAAATGCACACTGGTACCTCTTAGGTAACCACAGGTCTTCATTTGGTGCTGAATTATTAGCCATTTTTCTTTTATTTTCTTTGAATATGATTCAGAGACCAATTTACTCCCAAAGAAAATTACTATTAAATTATATCTATTAAGTTTTTATATTAAAACATACTCTAGTAAGGGTTGACTGTCACTCTGAGCAGCTGTGCCCCTCTGAATGCCTCATGTGTTGGCATAATTTATTAACTGGCTCTATCTGAGCAGAATGGGAGTGCTGTGAAATTACTTTTGGGTTGTACTTCAGTATCCCCGGGGTCCCAGATGTTTCACTTTCTTTGTTCTTGACTTGCAAACACAGCAGAAATAAGAATTCTCAACATCTTCAGAGAAATGTTGGGTTGGAGCAAAATCAACTACAAGAAACCATTTAAATTCAAAATCCTAAAAGAACCCAAGAATGATGTTAACACTATATAAATAGAACAGGATTAATAGGAGGCCCCACAAACAGTCAATTTCTAGGCCACAATCAGTTTCTAGGGTGGCTTTTAGCTGTATATAACCTTTTTTTTTTTTAAGATTTTATTTATTTGTCAGAGAGAGAGAGAAAGAGCACAAGCAGGGGGAGCTGCAGGCAGAGGGAGTAACAGGCTCCCCGCTGAGCAAGGAGCCCAACACGGGACTCCATCCCAGGACCCTGGGATCATGACCTGAGCCGAAGGCAGACGCTTAACCGACTGAGCCACCCAGGCGCCCCTGTATATGACCTTCTTATAAATCCTGGGCAAAATTCCTCTGTGATATGATAGCAAATCCCAGGGTCTTGGGATCGAGCCCCGAATTGGGCTCCCTGCTCTGCGGGAAGCCTGCTTCTCCCTCTCATACTCCCCCTGCTTGTGTTCCCTCTCTCCCTGTGTCTGTCTCTGCCAAATAAATAAATAAAATCTTAAAAAAAAAAAAAGAAAGAAAGAAAATGAAATTATAAGGCTCACCGTAGCATTTATTCTGAAGGGCTTACTTCAGGCAAGAATTTCCAGAGAAAGGGAAAGTCTGATTGAGAGTTAGTCTCTGGCTTCATTCCATCATATATCTGATTTCTTGCTTTCAGTTTCTTTTCCCCAGTGAGGAAAACTTAGATAAGGTTGTTATTTTACAAACTTTGCAGCTCGATTGTATGTTATTTTTTTCATAATCATACAAGTAAAATATCTTCATTAGAGACATTTTGGAAAATACAGAAAAGCATAAAAATGGAAGGCAGTCCTTCCTAGAGACCCTCAATTAATATTTTGGTGTTTTCCCTTGTTTTTCTATATAAACATTTTTTAAAACTTGGGATCGTACGAATGCATATATTGCTTTTTTTCACTCACTATTACATCAAGAGCATTTCCCAACATCATTAAATGTCCTTTGATAAGGATCACCCTTGATAATGGGTGAGAACATTTTTAAAGCCCTTGATATGTATTGTCAAATCTCAGCTCCTAGCACCAGGTAAAGTACCTATTACACGGTAAGTACT